TTGATCCACCTCAGTATGTTGGCCAGCCACCAAAACAGCCTAGAAGGCGAGCACGACCACCGCAAAATCTCATCTAACCTCCAAAAAATTTTCAAGAACCCTATAACCCACATCCAAGCCAGGGGTATAGAGCGGAACAAAGGTTGAAAGATAATTTTACACCAATAAGAGAGTCTTATGCAAGCTTGTTTGAAAAATTAAAACATTATGACATGATTGCACCCATTCATCCAAATCATGTGGACCCACGTGCAAGAAGCTTTGACCCTTCTAAAAGGTATGAATACCATTCCAATTCCCAGAGTCATAATGTTGAAAGTTGTCGGGATTTGAAAAGAGAAATAGAAAGGATGATCCAGGAAAACCTAATTGTGATCCAAGACAGTGACACCCGGAATATTGCGCAGAATCCTTCACCTACACATGATGATGCACACTTTATGGGGATGATGCATGGTGACAGGGAGTATGAGAATCCTCTCGAGAACTTGTTAACTAAAGTTATTGATTTTGAAATTAGAGAAGGCTCTGCTGATTCTGATGAGCAAATTTGTGGCTAAATGTCAAGCCTAGCAATTGAAAAGTCATTTTCTCCTCACTAGGAAGGAATCTTAGTAGCTTGTTTTGATGTTTTTGTGTTATCTGGGTTATTTCAGGGTTGTGATCCATATTTTATTTGTTTTATTGAGTCAAACCCTTCTATTCTTCTATTTTGTTTGTATGAGTCATGTCTGTCTATTTTGTTGCTATTTTCATTATCCGAGTTATTTTAGGTTTGTAACTCGGATCTTAGGTTGTTTGTCTTGTTATCAAACTCTTTCATCCTTTACTCAATAAAATACAGTTTGTCCTTTTGTGTCATTCTATTCTTAGTTCTTTTCTCGCTAGTTCTAATGACATGACATGCATGCAGAAATTTTGGCCAGATCTTAGAAACTGATTTAATCTGGAATTGGATAACTGGGAAAAAACTTTTGAGGATGAATAAAGAGTTGAAATACATTGGAATTAAGGTCGAGTAAAATTCACCTTCAAATCATTGTGAAGATCGGACTTGAGAATGTTTAATCAATTGAAGTTTGTTGGAAAGTTCAACATTAGGGGATGGAAAATGTCTTGTGACCACGACACACCAAGAAGACAGACATGTTCGTCAGTGCTGTGATCACGAAAAGATACTATGTTTGGAGTTCTCGAGGTTGGGAGGCCTTTTTTCTGTTACCCAAACACTTTATACCCTTTGTTACCCCTTTGAGCCTGTGTTATTTGTTTTGACCACCCGACATGTAAGGCGATGTCTTGAAGCATGCAATGAGAAATGGTTGTCACACGACATAGAACACTGTCAAGTTGCCCACAAAAGAAAATTAAAAAAAAAGGAAAGAAAAGAAAAGAAAAATGAGAGAGTCTTACTAGTGAAAACCTTCACGGGCACTATAAGGCGATGGTAAGTTGAGAAAATAAATGTGAGAAACTTGTAGGTGAAAATATCTCGGGGCACCATTAGTCGAAAGTGAGTCGTGAAGTTGATGCAAAGGATTGGCACGAACAAGCCCGACTTCAAAGTTATAAGAATGGTCAAAGCAAAAATTTGGTCAGTTTGATAGATCGGCTGTTAAGTCCAAAATGCATGTCATGATCATTAAGGCTAGTTATTGAAAAAGAAAAAAGAAAAAAAAAGAGAAAAAAAAAATTCTTCCTTCTATCCTTCTGACAGGGCATTTCTTGTTGATACTTGTTTCTTTGAATCATTCTGTCCTTCACTCTAAGTCAGTCCTTGTCAAAACAAGCAAGACAAGATTTCAAAATCTGCTAGTAGCTTTTTAGTTGCATAAAATAAATTTAGCCAGCACTTAGTTGTTACTGTCAATATACCTTGAGGATTCATGCAAAGGCTTCCCCAAAAAGACTCTTGTCAGCCTATTTGGCGCAAGAAAGATAACTGGTGATTCTCTCTGACAGACAAATTGCTCAAAAAGCAAGAAGTCATTCAAGATATCGGAAAAGGTCACCTAAGTAAAGATCTCCAGTCGAGATAAGGCAGATTGAGCCGCAAATACAAATAGTACTGGGTGTGAAGCAATTAGGGTTGATGTAGAGCAAAAGTCTCTTGAAACCGACTCAAATTGATTGAGCAGAAGCCAAGCTGCCCAAGGCTCAAGGCCACAAACCCACCACCATTTTCAAAAACTGACAAATTTTTTGTTTGTGTGAAACAGGAACAAAGCAGTACAAAGAAAGTGGTTAAAAAAAAAAAAGAAGACAAAGAAAAGAAGAGAAGAGCCGACGAAAGGAAGTTTCTCAAATTTTTGCCTTCATTTGTCATGTTAATATGCGTAAAATCATGCCATTGCTCTTTACATTTTTCCTCCTAAGATAAAAAGTCCTAGTCTGATGAATTTTCCTCTGAATATAAATCTTAGTCTGATGAATCTTTCTCCTAAGATAACAAAAAAGAGGACCTAGTCTGATGAATTTTCTCCTAGGATCGAAATCTTAGTCTGATGAATCTTTCTCCTAATATACAAGACCTAGTCTGGTGAACTTTCTCCTATGATAAAAATCGTAGTCTGATGAATTTTTTCCTAAGATAGAAAACCTAGTCTGATAAACTTTCTCCTAGGATAAAATCTTAGTCTGATAAATTTTTCTCCTAAGATAGAAAACCTAGTCTGATGAACTTTCTCCTAGTATAGAAATCTTAGTCTGATGAATTTTTTTCCTAAGATAAGAAAATCTAGTCTGATGAAATTTCTCCTACGATCAAAATCTTAGTCTGATGAATCTTTCTCCTAAGATAGAAGACCTAGTCTGATAAACTTTCTCCTATGATAGAAATCTTAGTCTGATGAATTTTTTTCCTAAGATAAGAAAATCTAGTCTGATGAAATTTCTCCTACGATCAAAATCTTAGTCTGATGAATCTTTCTCCTAAGATAGAAGACCTAGTCTGATAAACTTTCTCCTATGATAGAAATCTTAGTCTGATGAATTTTTCTCCTAAGATAGGAAAACCTAGTCTGATGAATTTTCTCCTAGGATCAAAATCTTAATTTGATGAATCTTTCTCCTAAGATACCAAAAAAGAAGTAGAAAAGAGGCCTAGTTTGATGAACTTTCTCCTAGGATCAAAATCTTAGTCTGATGAATCTTTCTTCTAAGATAGAAAACCTAGTCCGATGAATTTTCTCCTAGGATAATAATT